TTCCCTATATCGACACGATGAAAATAGAAAATGCATTTATTCTGACAATTTCCTGTACCTTATATATATACATATTGATGAATTTGGTCAACGAAATCTTGAAAAACAAAAGAGTTCCATACAAAACATAAAGATTCTATATAGTATACTGATCCGGTGTAGAACCGATTTTTCTTCTTCTATGCGTAACACGCTTGATGGCAAAATTAAAATGCCCTTCGCGAGGGTATCACAAACAAAACTTAACCCAAACTTGGGGCAAAGCGTGGGGCAAGTACTTAATAAGTATAAAGACAAGAGCTTGGTCGAGGGGGGGGGGGGGCAGTGTAAAGGTGGCGGGGTAAGCGGGGGGAGAGGGGGAAGAGGGGGGGGAGGCAGTTGCTCTATCATTTTCACAGACTAAAAACGAGCCACATTTTTAGCTGCGGCGCCCGTCTGCGCATTTAACATAAATATTGTGTGTAATTGTGAAGACCACAGCCGCGTCTGACGTTGACGTCGACTGCGGCTGCGACTGCGACGGCAGCGTTGCTCAGCAACTTTGCGTTAATTTTGAAACGTTCGTTGCTTTTCTTTTTTTCTTTTTTTGCATAAGAATTTCTCGCTTACGAGTTCAATGCACTTTGGTCAAAGCCAGCTGAGAGCTTTGCACTGGCACTGGGCTCTGTCAAGGGCGGCGCGGCGCGGCGCAGCGTTGAGCATGGAGGCGTGGCATTGGGGCTGACCACCTGTGCCAGGCAACAGCTGTTTGTTACGTCACGGCAGCTTGTCACGTGTGCCAGCAATTTTTGCCGCCTGCGTATCGCGTATCGATCAATTATCGATCGACCCTCGCTGGCACATTGCAACGACGTTTTGCAACACTGTCCGGTTAATCGCATTCGCTGATAATTGCACTTCGTGAGAATTTCAATAATTTATGATATATCATGCACCGTAATGAAGCTAAACAATGGTTCTCAGGTGTTTCCAGAGAGCGTGGGGGGAGTGGGGGGGGGGGGGGCGGGGGCATAGAATGTGAGCTTAGTATGCACGCAACTAGATCTTTAACAGGGCTACCAGATTTCTAAATAATGTATATGTATCGACATTTTCTCATATCGTATCGTATTTGTTTGGGAAAAGCAATCAGAGATCAGTGCGTGATATTAATTTGTAAATGTTATGATTTTTATGATTCACAAGCGTTTTTTAGTATCAAATGTATTTATTTATTGTTGCAGCATATTTTGTACATAATATTTTTTTGCACAGCTGTTTCTATGATTCATAAGACTTTGTCTTCGGAGACTACAGAGTATGCATATCAAAAATCTCTCTTGAAGTATTTGGTCACTTTTATAGGGTATACACCGCAGTCGTTGAGATTATTATGATAATTTTTATTATTATATTAATATTATTATTTATTAATTTTATTATTATTAATGATATTATTATTGTAACTATCATTATCAGTACTATTAGTATTAGCATTAGTATTAGTATTAGCATTAGCATTAGCATTAGCATTAGAATTAGCATTAGCATTAGAATTAGCATTAGCATTAGCATGAGCATTAGAATTCTAATTCGCATTATTATTAGCATTAACATTAGCATTAGTACTAGCATTATCATTCACATTAGCATTAGCATTGGCATTAGCATTAGCATGAGCATTAGAATTCTAATTCGCATTATTATTAGCATTAACATTAGCATTAGTACTAGCATTATCATTCACATTAGCATTAGCATTGGCATTGTCATTATCATTATAATTGATTATTTTCATTAAGTATTAGTATTTATTTAAAATTCAAACTAACTTTTTTTAGCATCCATGCCTGGGTATTGAACCCGAATTCTCGTAGTGCACTTGCCTGAACATTTATTTCTAGCATTACTTTACAATTGATGCACTGCATTTGTGATTTTATTGTTGCATATTATTTATAGAACTTAGTTCTCTGCTTTATTTGCATATGCCTGCTTCTATAATTAACAACAAATTTATCCAACAAATTCTTTTTAAATCTCACATAAGTTCAAGCTGTAAATATTTTTCAAATTTTATTGTATATTTAAGATCGCGAATTGTTTTAAACTATTTCCTAGCTGCGTTTATTTTAAGCATATCAAATAACTGTTATATTTATTTGTTTTGGAATATGAGAGGAGGTCTGTTTGAATACCCATTGAAAGTCGGTTAAAAGGGGTATACTTGTTTTGTGCAACATCAAGCAGAGATTCGTCTTAGTCACATTTTTTTCTGTCTGTCTGTCTGTCAGTCTGTGCAAACGAGACTTGAAACTCGAAATATATATTCGATATAGATTCCCAATCTAAATGGATATAGTTAAATTTATAACAAAAAGAAAGCAACTAGAGAAGAGACATGAATTGCATAGATGCCAAAGCGCGAAATGGAATGAAAGATAAATAAAAATATGAATTGAAATTCGAAATACATACGCGATAAAAAGTCTCTAAGGATATAGTTAAACATGTAAAAAAAAACCAACTAGATGAGAAAAAAATACATTTAATAAATGCCCAAAGCAGCCAAAGGTATTAAAAATGAGTGTAGAAAAATGAAAATATAAGAAAAAAACCAAAAAAGGAATAAAAACAAAAACTTCGCCAATTAAAAGTAATTGAAAATAATTTATGCGATGCGTCATTAATGCCAGTGGGTGTGTGTGTGTGTGTGTGTGTGTGTGTGTGTGTGTGTGTGTGTGTGTGTGTGTGTGTGTGGGAGGGTGTGACAGCACGTACATGTGTTGCGGTTGAATGGGGAGTGGGGAGTCGGCAGAGGGATGGAGAGGGAGAGGGGGGGCGACAGACGGTTCAGTTTTAGTGACGATCGACGCGCCAAGTTTGTTCCCCCCCCCCACCCCCCACACACCCCCTCCACCGACCCATCGTCTAGCTAAGCAGCAAAACCAAAATCGAAACCAAGAACAAGAAAAACATAAGTCAAAAAGACCTGTGCTTCGTTGGCCGACTATTGAATACCCTTGCCGAAGGGTTGAGCCAATAGTTGGTGAACTTTAAAAAGAATTAATGACCAGGCAGAAAAGTTGTTTATCTTAGGCACGCCGAAGCTTAGATACCCTTGTGTGAGAATAGCTTTAAAGCCGAGAGACAAGTTCGGAAAGATAGAAACGGACAGACGGACAGATATGGACATGGCTATATCAACACATTTGTGGATATATGTATGCTATATGTACATATATGGGATATATGTATACTATACGCGATCGGGGCTGTCGCCTTCTATGCCGTACACATATCAAGATGAAATTATAAAAGTAAAAATTCAAACCGATTCTTGCCAAAGAACTATAGAAATTCGATATTAAAAAGAAAATCTTAGTAAAAGCATTTCTTACGCGAACTTCAGCTACCAAATCGATAAATATCGATAACGTTTTATGATAATATCGTGGAGCTAATAAGAGCTTAGGTATGTAGTTTGTCGTATAATTAACACGGATTTCGACTATTTTATGCCTTTCCAAGTACACTTCGACTCAGGTACTCAGTGTGGGTCGGGGCTGAATAAAGAAGAAGAAGAAGTGGGCAGGGTTCCAATCCAGACTAAATATATATACACTATTTTGTCGCAATTTGATAATGAGGTCATCTGTTTGTATGTGTTACACATTTGCCGACAAAGTTCAAATGCCCAATGCAAGGGCATTAACATGGGAATAGAGTTATTTTGATAATGGCGCATATTAAACACCCAGCAGGAACATATGACGTTCCACAATTCGGTGAAAAGTTGTGTGCGTGTGCGTGTTTTTTTTTGTTGGTTAACCCATCTGATTGACCGCTTGCAGCAAATATATGTAAAACGTCAGCCGATCAAGTTATACACAGACGAAGAATTATGTGGATATATATATATATAGATATAGATATAGATATAGATATATGTGCTGATCTATATATAATGCCTGTGTGTGTAGCACACGTGCATAAATTGTGATACCCGCCGCTGGGCTAGGGCATTGGAAATGTGTTTTAGTTTTTGTCGTGGCAGGCGCCAACATGAGAAGCAACAACAACAACAACAACAACAACAACAACAACAACAACACGTAGGGCGACAACAATGGAAGCTAAGACGCGGCATCAGCTACTTCCGCATAGGCAGGCAGCTGCTCCAGACAATGCCCCAAACAGAGGCACCCCCCCTCCCCAACCCTCTCTGTGTGTGGGTGCAACTGATGCAGACTGACAGACGAACAACACCAGCACCAGGGGTTGGGGGAGCGGCAATGGGAGCGGCAATGGGAGCGGCAATGGGAGGGGGACGGGGGGATGTGGGGCGAAAGTTTATAGATGTTCGCGTTTTTTTCTTTCCTTTTTTTTTTTTTTGGGCTGGGTTGTGTTGGATTTGGGCCATATGCGTAGCGCCCGCCAGAAGTGGAAACATGTGTATGTCTAGGCAGCTTCCTCACCAATCCCCCCCCCCCCCTCAGGCTAGGGTTGCGTAAATGCAACAACTTTTAATTAGGTTTATGGGAAATATGCGAAACGTAATGTTAAAGCAAAAAAAAAAAAAAAAAATCAGCGCAAATATTGAAAGAGAAAAAAGCAGAAAGAAACACAAACAAAAGCGGCGCCAAGCCCCCTCCGCCAGCCACGCCCCCTCCGCCAGCCACGCCCCTGGGCCGCAAACAATGCAGAATTATAGCATAACTTGAATTTCGCATCATGTAATCAGCTCAAAGCCCGAAACTGAACCGCGTCGCGTCGCGTTTTATTTGTCAATTCATTTATAGATTGTTTTTTTTTTTTTTCATTTTCTTCTCCGGTTTATTTTTACTACCCTGTTGCCTGAAGGCGCGTGCCAATGGGGCATGCCAGACTTGACTGTGAAACATGTTACTTTTTTTTTGACTAGAGACGAAGTTGAGATAGAGAGAGTGAGAGAAAGAGGGAGTTTTTTTTTAACAGTATCGATAACTTTTGTTAAAACCGATTAAAAAAAAAAACAGATTCTTCTTCTTTACAGGGCGTATACGCAACGCAATTTTGTAATATTTCTTAGAAGACACGCGAATTTTCTTCTTCTCCATTTTGTTCGCTCGTTGATATTTGCATCGCCGTCTGTGGGAGATACTTAAAAATTTGGTTGGCAATAATATAAAGCAGATTATTGGCTCACGATTTGTGTCGATTTGGTAACTCCGCGGAATTAATTAAACAGGATGGGGGAGGGGCGCAAGAAGGGGCGGAGCTGTATAGGGCAAAAGAGAGAGCAATATCGAAGACTAAACACCCAAACAGATATGCACATATACATATCATACATATATATATATATGTATATATATCAGATATCCAATTGCTATGAGTCAGACAAGGGTGTTACCTGATCTCCCTAAGGGATCCATGTCCATGTTTATAGGACACCAGTAATCCGATGTTGATAATATCTTTGGAGAATGCAAGCACTATGGAGAGCCGCAATCTTTGGCTTGATCAAGATGTCTGCTAAATTAAAAGAGAACTGTTCCAATTTGTTTATATTTACAGCCTGCAGCTGGCATATGGATCGAGGCCAAGTTAGATGAAGATAGCTTTAAAACTGGATCAGTTTGGATGCTCAGCTACGAGAATGGATAGTAAGGATCCGACTTTGGTATTCTAAACAAGCTTCAAATATATATGTATATCCTAATAAAAAGGTCTTACAACAATGTCATCATTCGATTATTAGAAGAGATAGCTGTTGATTAATAAATTAATGTGATTAACTACGTCTTACACTGATGGCCAAAAATATTGATTACACTGCCTTAACTTGTACTTGCACTTGTAGAGGGTATCATATTGTGTAATGCATAGAAGAAGACAGTTTTAAAGCCTTGTCTTACAGGCAGCACATATGCCGGAACATGCCGGATCGGGCCACTATATCATATAGCTTCCATAGGATCGATCAGTCGAAAAGTAGGTTCTTATATGGGAAAATTTTATATTTTCCAAGATATTTTCATCAGACTCAGCAGTTAGGAGCTTCACAATTCGCACATATCTCAAGAAGGGTATTAAATCTTCGGCGTGCCAAAGATATTCTTACTTTCACAGATTTTCCTAAAGATCTAGTCTTTTATTTGAGAAGAACTAGGCAGACATACTACTTCCCTTTGGAGGCATATGTTCTGATAATAATAATAATAAATAATAAGTTTTCAGCTATACGAACTAACGTCCAAGCTCTCATATATTTCTCCGACTGCCTCCATCTCTCCTCTATCCAACTCAGACAATTAGGTTAACTACAGCTGCTTCTTTATGCGACAACAACCTGTTGCATGGAAATATGTTGCCTCGAATGCAATGAAAACCATATCAAAGCTGATTTATTTGCTTTCGACACATATCTTGGTATTTGTGAAGATAGGGTCTCGACTAGTTTATCAAGGTAACTGGCTTTATAAATCTTTTGCGGACTGTTATTCAAAGTATTTCCAGTTCTTGCAGCTCTTCCTCTACTTCACAGTTGAATGTTTTGTTTTGTCGGGTTCTCGTTTCTTTTCTTCAATGACTTTTGTGTGACTTTCAGTTTCCAATCGATCTGCAGATGTGGTAATATGTGTGTGTGTGTGCACTTACTCGTATTACTCGGACCACTTGGATCATTTCCCTAGCTCTCCCCACACCGCCCCTCGCCGCATCTGTATCTCAGTCATATCTCGTTTGGGCATATGGCGGCTATAATTTCATGCGTTTAACAGGTTTTGCGAATTTCCTTTTTCTTCATTTCTAAATGTTGTTGTTTCTCGTCTAATACTCTGCTTCCATGGAGCTAAGCAAATGTACATTGGTTTTGTGAGCGAATCAAATCTTTTTGGAATGGGATAAGAAAACAAGTTGAAATCGAAAGTGTCCGACTAGAAGATACACTGTTTAAAACATTCTAGCTTCTATCTATCTTTAACCAAAAACGATATTTATCGATATAAAGATAATGGAGTTATCGAAATAACGTTTGGCGTACCGTATACGCAAAGTACGCTAGACTCAGTTCATTATCCTGATCACGCATATATATAGAGAATATATGTACATATATATCTAGGCAGACGGATATGTATAGACGTAGTCAGGTTGTTATCCCAATCAGAAAACTATTTATTTTAGGGATTCAGAGAAGCTTTCTTCTGTCAAATGCATTTGTACAAAACTTCTCTCTCCCCTATTTCCCATTGTCAATGGGTTCGGGCTCTCGTAAGATTTTCTTCAACACCGCAAACAGAGTATCCCGCTGTCGAGTGCAATGGGTTATCGGAAAAACCTGCGATTCAGACGCGGCGGCAACGTGTTAATCCCCCTCGACGATCGATTTGCCAAAAAGCAACAACAACAACAACAACAACAAACACACAGCTAGTGGGGGGGAACGCGGAAGAAGAGAAGGTGCGCGGAGTAGGGGACTGTTTTTAAAGCCTGCTTGGGCCTGGCCCGACAGCGCGTCGACGTCCCAAACGATTGAGGAAAAAGTGAATTTTTTCATAGAAAGTTGCTGGGCAACATTTGCGACGGGCCGGGCTGGAGAAGGTGCGACAGAGGGTAGAGAGGAGGAGAATGGGGGGGGGGGGGGCAGCTGTTGCCGATACTTGAAAATAGAAAATACAACAACAACAACGGCAACAACAACAAGTGTGTCGGGTGCCGAATTCTGTTGCAGCCTGTTTCACTTTCCAGTGTCCCATTCGCGCACACACACACACACACACACACACACACACACACACACATGCACACAGACACACAGACACACCCCTCCCATGGAGCCACCCTCGTTCCGCCACAAGCCGCATGCCACATCGCATAAGCTGCGCTCAGTGAGCGCATTGAACTTTCTACCGACAGGTGGCGCTGCGAGCGCCGTTTAACCCACAAATCAAATCGAAGCACAAATCAAAAACGGTCGCTGAAGAAGAAGAATGCGAAAAACGGTAACAAAAGTGCGGCTGCACTTTGGCTAAAAATACAAAAAGAAATAAATAAATAAGAAACCAAAACAAAAACATAACAAAAAATAACTGTGCCACGGCGACGCTTTGTTAATGACGCCATCGCCAATCGTCGCGCAGTTTCGACGACGTTTACGATTTCTCTCTTGCTCAACCCCCCCCCCCCCCTCCCACACTTCACGCTCCCCCTCTCTCGCTAGCTCTTTCTTTTCGTCTAGTCTTCCTTTAATGCGCGTTTCGCTGTGCTCTTTTCACGGGCTTAGCAAAAAAAAGAAGTCAAGAATGATCTAGTCAGGAGCTTGGCGCGACTTACAGATACCCTATCTCAGCTTTATATAGCACCTTATATAGCAACTATTTGTTCAATCATTGCTAATTTAAATTGTATACATTTAAAATTTTAAAAACTTACGTTACAGAAAAATGAATATTGGATGTTTTATATTGAATATCGCAGGATTTGCAATAAGAAAAACAAACATTTTAACTACATAAATTCCAAATATATATTATTCATAATAATTCGCGGGACTTTCAAGAAGTGTTAACAATAGGAAGAAAAGAGGGAGCACTAAATCTTTTTACTGCTATATAATATAATTTATAATATTTGGCGGGATTTTGAAAAATTGATTACAATAGGAAGAAAAGGGAAACCCAAATCCTCTTAACTTTCATAACATACAATAATTCGTGGAATTTTCATAAAAGTGTTAAAATAAGAAAAAACAACAGATAACCAAAGAGGAATTTGATCATATATAAGTTTAATTTATATAAATTCGCAGGATTTTTAAAAAGTGTTTGAAATAATATAAAGGTTGAAAACAAAATTCTCTTAACTGACTCGAATTCCACATATGTAATTAATATGATCTTTTTATTTATTATGTATTATATTCCCTTTACTATAAGCTATCTATAAGTAATACAAATATAATCCCAGAAAAACATATAAATCCAGAATTCCCTTTACAATAATCTAATAGATAATATTCGATATAATTAAAATATAATAAATATAATTATAATATAATATAATAAATTATAAATATATATAATGCAAATAAATGAAACATAATAAAATATAATTAAACAAAGGACGTTCACTTTTAATACAGTTAGTTCGTGCCATATAATCCGATGTCTTAAAGAAAATTATATTATGAAGATTATCATATGGTGTTGATGATGATTATCCTTTGGCTTTGGCCTATGCACAGACAAGGTCCGAACTACCCCTTTATGCATAGGGTTAGCAGAGGGTATCACGTAGAGAAATGGCAAAATGGCCCGAAAGCCACTTTGCTTAGATCCAAAAGCGCTGGCAGTGCGTGGCCCAAGAACCGGGCCAAGACGTTAGCTGGCCAAAAGCGTAGCCAAAAGCGAAGACATGTTAACCAAGACGGTCAAGTGACATGCAAAGCGAAAGCGGCTAACAACACGAAACACGAAACACGAAACATGAAACATGAAACATGAGGCGGCCGGGCAAACATGACAGAAATGATGTCAAGCCAGCGGGCACACAAACAGGAACAACAACAACAACAACGACAACAACAGCTGCTCGCAGCCAATGGCCAAATCCGGTCAAGAGCTGTGCGTGTTCTGTCTGTCTGTGTGTGTGCGTGTGTGTGTGTGTGTGCGGGCGGGCAAAGGCAAGGCCAAGCGGCCAAAAGCTCAAAGGCTGTTAGAATGTCACAAATGACCTTGACACACCAACCCGCACACACACACACCAACACACACACACACCTGCAGCAACACACCTTCCTTCCGCAGCGTGCACATTAAATAAATACACATAAAAATATTAACAAAATACATTAAAAGGTAGAATTTTGCAGTCGGTTGCAGCCGACTGCGCAATACTCTTTCGCAGTCCAATAAGTTCATTAATAGCCAGTTAAAAGCTAACAAGCAGCTAAATGGTAAAGTTCATGGCAAATTTTATAAAAGCAGCTTTTAAACTTAATCTAAGATTTATGCGTTTGGAGTGGGCGTGACCCAAAAAGGTAGCTAAACTTGACCTTCAGTGAAGGTTATCAGTGTAAAATATGCAGACTCTATCTGTGGCAGTTATTGATTTGGCCGCGCCCCTATTGGGCGTGGTCATGCATGACAGGAGCTTATCTGCCGAATTGCAAGATTTCTAGCGAATATTGCACACAGCCAATATGCCCGTTTGCACTTTATGAAAGAGTATGAAGAGACTAAAAGGAAAAAAGCAAATATGACCAGAAGAGAGCCAAGCGGCAAGCGGCAAGTGGCAAGAGCTTTGCCATTTGCCATTTGCCGTTTGCCACTTGCTGCGCCGGCAAATGCCTTGAAGCCTTTTATTTTTCACTTCGTCACGGCACGGCACGACTTTATCGATGGGAAGCACCCACAACAGCAACAATAACAACAACAACAACAACAGCAACAACAGTTGTTGCCAAGCAAAAATATGTGTTTCAATTTGATTCGCATGCCAAGTGATTCATATTGAAAAGAGTTACCTATCTAAATTAGGTTTATAAGCCAATGAAATCAACTT